GTGCAGCTTATTTCGCTGGGTTTTTCTTTCAGCCTTATCAGCGTGATGGATAGTTTAGGCATGGCGAAGGACAAAATAGTAATAACAATGGCCATGATTACTATTTTTCATATTTTCTTTAAGAGCAATATGATATTACCAGGCTTCATGCATGTCGCTTTGTTTATTAGCTGCCATTTAGTAATCTCCTTCATCTTCGCTTTATTAAAGTTAGAGGCATTAGGCTGTGAGGAGAGCAGGGGCTCACGGTGCATCCACCCTGGGGAGACGCTCGCTTTCCTCACGTACATCCACGCTGAGCCCAGCGCTGCGGGGCTGCAAAGCACCAGCAGCTAACCCGCATTTTACACACAGACACATCCTGCTGGGTCAGACCCGAGTCCTGTTCCTTTCCTTGCAGTGCTCCAGTTACAGGAAGAGGCTTTATGAGTGTTATTTATGCTCGCATGTGTCAGGGTAGGGAAAAGTAGCCTCAGCAAAAAAATAAAAAAATAAAACAAAATTCAAAACAAAACAAAACAAAACAAAACAAAATAAAATAAAATAAAATAAAATAAAATAGCTTTCAGCTGAAAGGTCCTAGTGATGCCTCCTGGTAAGGTGTTAGAGGACATCACTATCACCTGTGTGACGCTTGGAAAGGATAATTTTTCTCAGAAGGGTAATTTATTAATTACAAATGTCAATCTCTCGCTGTCCAGCTCTCCTACAGTCCTGGGCAGCAGCTGAGCAACTGCTGGAGGAAGGATGACCCCATCCTCAGGCACTTTGATGGGGCTGACAGAAAGCCAGCCCTGTGTCAGCGGGAGCCTGGTGGCCCCAATGCCTTGATGGAGAGGGAACCCAGGCTGCCTCCCGACCAGGGGCTTTGCATCCCGTCATCCCCATCATCCCCGTCATCCCCGCAGTGACAGCTGCTGGAAAAAACAACACCCACCGAGAAAAGCCTGGAGTCCCGCCTGGGGAAGGGAGGGAAACAGCCACGGCAGAGCTCCACGGAGACAGAGCCAAAAAAAGGCTCTGAACCGCCTCGCAGGGACACCTGCGCCTCAGAGAGCAACGCGCCACGCTGCACTGGTGCGTGGGGCAGCGAGACGGGGGGACCCCTCGTTGTGACAGCGATGGTGACTCCCCTGCCTCAGCAACTGGGTGACCCATGAAACAAAAGCAGAGTGCAGTCCAGAAGCATTTAGAGATCACAAATCCGTTCTCCTCTCCTCTCCTCTCCTCTCCCCCTTTCCCTTTCCTTTCCTCAACCCTCCTTGCCTCCCATCCCCAAACCCCCAGCCCACACTAGCAAAAATGAACTGCTGCACACTCGCAGCATCACACACATCCTCCCGTTGCTCTTCACCAAGTAATTTGCTGCCTGGGTGGAACACCAACGCTGTTGCTATCCACCGGCCATCACCACACCACGGGAAAGCAGCTGAGGCCGAGTCCTCTTGCAAACAACAGGGGAAGGAGGGCAATCACCCCCCTGGCCAGCAACACATGAGAACTGGCAATGGGAAGGAGCTGAAGGCTTTTGAGCCTTGCAGATTCACTCCACACAGCACAGTGTGAGGCAGCGAGCATGCAGTGGTAGCAGCAGCTTGGCTCCAGAAACATCTGCTGCTGGCACCTCATTGCCTGGGGTGCTCCCCCCGGGGAGGTTTGGAGGTCCTGGCCCCCAGCAAAGCTGCAGGAGCCTGAAGCAGGGGCAGCAGGGGCACTGCAAGATGCCCTGGGGGCTGCTCTGCTCCTGCTGCGATCGGGACCTTCAACTAAGCCTGCAGGCAGGAGGTGGCTTTTTGGTGCGGGGCAGAGAGCTGCCCCTCTGCTGCTTTGCTGTGGATGTTAGGAGGGACGTGATGAGCAAACTCACAGGCTCCAGTCGCTCCTTTCCTACACCTCCTGCTCCACCTCACAGCGCCTCTGTTCAAGCTGTGAGAGGATCAACAGCCCCAGGCAGCCCTGGATTTACCCCGAGGCCCGGGAGCCTCTGAAGCCTCCCTGCTGCCTCCCAGCTCAGCAGCACCACCAAATTCCCCCTCCTGGTACAAGGCATGGCCCCAGGCTGCACCTCCCTTAGCTCAGCGCTGTTTGTTTGCTCTGTGCCATTTGAGAGCTGCAATACAGACCTGTCCCCATCACCAGGACAAGCACATCCCCCGTGTGAGATGGGGGACAGGGGACAGAGAGATGCAGTGGCAGTGGGGGAAGAGCCCTGCCAAGCCATGTGTTGGAAGGCAGCCCCACTGACCCGGGGGAGTCATTTGGGAGGGGAATGACTTTGGCTGGCCTGGCTGTGTGCTGGTCACGGTTCATTTGCTATGGGAAGCAGGGAGTGATTCATTTGGAAAGCTTCTATGCTGCAACTGCATGAGGTTGATACGCCCCTGTGAGATGGCAGAGGGCACCAGGCAGCCTTGATCTGCAGATCTATATGCCACCCACTTGTCATCATCATTAAAGTGCACTGGAGGTGCTAGGTAAAGGCTACGTGTGGTGTTTCGCCTGGACTGATGCTCTCTCTGGCTTTTTTTCAGCTGCATATGAAAAAGTCGGCTCATTTAATATCCTAAATTCTTGCCCAGTTTTGCATGGCAACATCATTTCCCCTGACTGCCCCACTTCTCACCTCCAGACAACCTAATGATGTTATATTTAATTGCTAGATGAAATGACTGCTTGCTCCCCAACACTTCCGAGAGCGCTGAGAGCCTTTGGATGTGAGATGCTACGAGGCTGCAACACAGTATTTCATATTACAGGAGCTGAAAGGTGCCCATCAGTTTGGCACCTCTGGTCCCAGCTTTTACACCCCTCGTCAGTGCTGAGAAAAAGTCGGTGGGCTCAGGAATCTGCTGCAAGGCCAACATTTAGTGCCTGCACCCAGCTTCAGTTTGCTGGCAGCTGAAGCCAGGCAGACAGCAGCCCATGTGCTGCCAGCAAGCAGAGCGGCAGAGGCTGTGTTTGCTGGTGGTGAAAGCACCAGTAAACTCAGCTTGGAAGGAGAGGCCAAGTGCACAGAGCTTATCCAGGTTACCCATGTTTGACAACCACAAATTGGGATGAGAAAGTGTCTTTTCAAAACCCTTTTAACATGTTCACCTTTGAGAGCTTCCAGCAAAAAGACAAGGCAGGAAAGTTAAAGGGTCAAACTCTGGGTGTTTGCTTGTTCTTTCCTCAGGCAAAACCTTCCTTGATTGACTGTGGGAAGGGTGAGAGTTGAGCACAACTGACGGGGGAGTCCCACTGCTAATACTGAAGCACGCAGCCTCTCAGCAGAGACTGATGTCAATAGACAAAGCTCTTCTGAGTACAGCCAGCTCGCTGCCTGCTGCGCACTGCCAAAACTTATGGGATACGAGCAGGGTCTCGCTGTGGGATGAGCTTTCATGCACAGATGTTGGTGAGATCCACAGGGCTCTGGTTGGTGTATCCAGACAAGGACAGGCATAGGCATTTGCAGAGGCAGCTGAGGTGAGGATGTGCAGCTGGTGACCATCGCTAGAGGGTCTCCTGGACTTCACCAAGTACACCAGAGCTCTGCTTCTGAGGAGAATAAGATAGGCTCACCCACACTGGCCAGCCTACAAGCTGTAAGTGCCTGAGCAAGGCACTGATTCAGCCAGACTGCTCACATGAGAAAAGATTACTCATGTGAAGGCTGCAGGACCAATACTCCAAGGCTCCTATGAGTCCTTGTTGCGTCGGGAGTCTCATCACTGCAATTACCACCACTCCATTCTCTGACGCCATCACACGACTCAGAAGTCAGGGGAATCTCCGATCTGTCATTGCACAGGTTGGGGACAAGCTCTGTGAGAACATTCAGCCTTACTGGGTCTCTTTTCTTAATCTTAGCAAAGATGGAGGAGCACACCACTTCTGCTGCTGCTCCCATAGCAGGAAGGGCTCAGAGAGCTAACACTGAGGTCAGGCAATTGACTGCATAGGAGACCAAAAGCCCTCATTCAGTAATTCCCCATCCCCAGCTCTGCCACTTCTTCACAGCCCTGACCCAGCCGGCTGTGCCTACACGCTGGTGCACATACACAGTCGCTGCCACAAGCCACACATCCACAGTCACCATCACACCCAAGCACACCTGCAGTCAGGTACCCTTTCTGGATTGCACCCCTTCCCTCTCCCCCACAGCCAGCAACGGAATTGGCTCCTCAGGCACTGACACATGCACTCACCCACACTCTGCCCCTGCTTCCCTTCCTGTCCAAACAGACACACTGCAACGTGGGGCCTTACACCCATGCAAGCTAGGAAACTGCATGCAAACTGACGAGCACATCCTCTTCTTGTGGCTTGCTCTCAGGCACAGCCTGGTACCTGAGTAACCACCCTCAGCTTAGCAAGCTTGCTGGCAGCAGAGGGACATTCCCACTCTTGTCTTTCATGTCCCATTTCACCAGTTCATGAGAAAGCTGAAAGGATCTGAGAAATCACCTCCATCCACACTTCCTGGCTACAAGAATCCTCACAAGCAGCAGGGACGTCTCCCAGGATCCCAAATATGTCTCACATAAAGGAGGCCTCTGGGTGAGACTTCCTGGTAGCCATCCCATAGCTGCAGAGTCAGAGCCATCAGAGCTGTCACCTGCACCACCGAGCAAGAGGCAGGTTTCCATCTGTGGCAGGAGCAGTGAAATGTCACAGGCAATGACGAGGTGAAATGCTCAGTGGGCTGCAGCATTTCCACAGGCAGAGAGGAGGCAGGCTCGCTGTGGATCTGGGTGGCAAGGAGTGGTGCATCCTCCCAGCAGAATGATGCCCACTCCTCCATCCCATCCCAACACACATCTGATGCAGCACCAGAAGACCCAGATGTGGAACAAACCTCTTGAGAAGAGGAAAAACCAAGAGGCCATTTCATTTGACTTGCAAGGAGTTAACAGCTCTGCCTGGTACCACCCACTCAGTGGAGAAATGGAAACAGGACTGAGGTTAGAGACCCAAATGTCACCCTGAGGGCACAGCCAGGCATCCTCCTCCCAAAGGTCTTTGATACATTTGACACATTTATTTTGCTGTGTGGCAGTGCTGTACAGTACACATACATTACCAGTAGTTTCAGAGCCCTGACTTGTCATTCCTTTTGCCTTCCCTGAATTTCGGAAAAGAGGCAGGACCACTGTCCCCTTCCCCCATTTCACCTGCAAGGAAACAGGCGAGGAAAAGTCTGAAAACACAGAGGCACTTACTGGACAGGACTGGAGACAAACCTCAGAAAGCTGGACACCCAGTCCACCACTCTCACCATTAAGGTCCCCTTTCCCTGGTGCTGGGAGAGGAAGCCCTCGTGCCAGCTCTGCACAAGGTCTCACTTCTCTGAGAAACTCTCTGCACACCCGAACAGAAGTCAGACTAAGGAGACTGCAAAAATTAATATAAACCCTATTGGGTTTTAAAGGGACTTAGCACCTCTCTCTGAGGGTCTGAGAAATGTTTTGGGGTGTTCTAGACAGGGCTGGGATTCTCTTAAATTTTGTAAGATTGTTTTAAAAAGAGCCAAGGAGAGGCTTTTGCTTCTAGTGCAGTCCCACTGAATCTGAGTGGAATTTCCCCTGTTCAGATGGGGGAAAAAAGTACCCTGCCCTTCCTGACACACGGCATCCCACACCTCCTTTCCTAAACCATGAAACAGCAGAGCTCCAGTACTGACTCCACCTCTCAGCACCACAGAGAAAGCTAATGCTTTAACGGGCAAGGACAGTGCGGCGTGTAACATGGAACAAGACCCAAAAATAGCCCACAGAATAGACAGAAACAGTCAGAAAGGCAAATGTGCCGTGGAGAGCAGAAGGGAGGGAGTGAGCACCCAGGCCTCTCACACCAGTTCATGTCAGTATGTGGAATGGTGCATCCAGCTCAGGAGAGCAATGACCCAGTTCCCCAGCTGGGACCCCTTCAGCCATAGGAAGAGTTCATACAAGTTGATCTGCCACAGGCTCAGGGCTTCTGTGAGAGAGATCTGAGCCCTCCTGTAAAGCGAGTGACTCTTGCTCCTCTGGTACCTGGAATGAGAAAAACACCTGTGTTAGATCCAGCAGGACACAGCCCAGCAGGAGGAGGCCCGTCCTACATCTTCAGTACAACTGACCCTCCCAGGGGAGGGGAACATCCCACGTCTGGAGAATCACCAGTGGGGACCTCTGGGAGCAGGGATTTTCTCCAAGTAATGTTCCTGAGGAGCTGGGACTGCCTTCCTAGCACGGATCTGGCAGAGGAGACAGCCTGCTTCCTTGTGAGCCCATTTCTCTCCCCACTGCGCACAGTGACCCTAAGCCATGGCAACCTCTTCTTCTATTCCCAGCTTCACTTCAGCTAAGGGGTGCATACCTCTGCAGCTGTTCCTGGAAGCACCCTCATCAGAGTCCAGGAATCCTGACACACTGGTTCCAGGAAAAGCAATTCTCCACCTTTCTTTAGAAGTAGAGGTTAACTGGGCTTTGTAAGACACTCATCAGCCAGAGAAATAACTGTTATTTCTTCCACAAGGAGGTGGCATCTGAGGCAGAAGTGTGTTGACTCATAAGACTCACAGATGGAAGTCACTTGCATGACTCCTGTTCCTGGCTTCAGCCTGATCTTCACAGTCAGCCCTATGCCCTATATCAGACTACAGAAACTGGCAGCAGTGAAGTTGCAGATCTTTCCTACCCACAAATATTTCCCAGTGGCAATGCCTATAATGGGCAGGAGGCCCCTTCTCCTCCTCTAGAGGGGCCAAACCCTAAACCCTTACTCCAAAGGCTCCAACTCCATCCCTCTCCCCAGCCCCAGCGTGACAGATCTGTTCTCTGGTGAGGCTGATGGGTGTGAGAACAGCAGAGGCAGAGGCCGAGATGTGTAACTGGGCAGGGGTAGGACCACAGCAGATGTGCTAATGAGGGGAGAGCTCCACCACTAAGAGAAAGAGGTCAAGTTAGGCCTTGTCAGGGCCATGAGTGGAGGGCTCTAATAAGCTGTAATGGCCCTGACTAGCCTGGGACCTCTTCCAAAGCTCTGCTCATAGGTCCAGGAGCTCGTTAATCTCAGACCTGCACCTTCAGTCCCTGCCTGAGCTACACTGGAGGAGTAATGGTCCCCAGCTCATGCCCTGCTGTGAAGCCCTTTGACCCTAGGATCTCAGCTCACATGCTGACCTCTTGGCTCGACCTCAGCCCTGTCTTGTCACCATGGACCTTCCTGACAACCACCAGACTAGACCTACAGATTGACCTTCTGGTTTGACCTTGGACCTGCTCTGTCACCACAATGTTACGTTATGATATAGACTTTGGATTGGACCTGACTACTATCTCAGGGTCTGTCCTGCTCACCTTGCTCAGCCACTGTGGGACTGGGCCCTGGCTGACTGGCAGGCCCTGGCATCCCCCCCAGCTTCCAGCCCCCAGGGACAGCCAGCCCCTGCTGCTCCATGGCTGGTCTCTGGTGTCTGGACTCACGTGGAAACGGCTCTGATGCAGCAGCGAGACATGTTGAGGAAGGAGCTGGCACTGGCCCGCGTGTGCAGGGCTGACTCAATCCCCCTTAACAAGTCATTGGTCTTCAGCAGCAGCAGCATCTGGCGGGGGACGTTGTTGAGGAGCTGGGTGATCTGGGGTAGGTAAGCGGCAGCGTTGGACCGGATCTCCACATCCTGCAGCCAGATAGGTCATGTTGGAGAGAGAAAGGAGAGAGAAGCTGAGAGCACATGGGAAACCCAGGCCCAGATGTAGCTGAGATTTGGCAGGAGATGGGTTTTTTTCCCAGACAATGACTCTAGGCCAGAAACTAGAGCTTTCCTGCAGACACCTGCCTGTCTCAAGAACTCACAGCACAGTCACAGACCACTCTTGCCTTATCTCACCTGCCCCTCAGTGAGATAAGGCCCCGTCCCCTCGCCAGCAGGATTAATGGCCTCTCAGGAGAACAGGCCACTCACTGCTATCTCAGGTGTTGGCCAGTGGTAGCCAACAGCAACCATGTCTCATTACTGTCCTTGCAGCCTTCTGACTGAGTCCCACCTCACCAGCCCCAAAGCTGGCAGAGCTGCAGCTAGCACAGGACTGCTCAGGAAGGTGGAGAGATGCTGCAAAGGCAACCAGGCTGCTGTGTGTCTTGCTGCTCCATGCAAATGATGGCTTTAAGCTGTACTGATGAAGCTGTTTCCAAGGTGTAGTTTTGTCCTCTATCCTCAACACAACTCAGCAGAGGTGAGAAAACACCATGCAGCTAAGCATCATGCTAACCCAAAAGATGAAAAACTCTCATCTGTCAGACTAAGGGTCTATCTAGACCCATATCCTGTCTGGCAGCAGCCAGTAGCAGGCGTTTAAGGAAACAGCGTAAAACCACGGCAGACACAGAGTGATCCTTTCTGTTCCTTGGATCCGCGGCTTCTAACAAATACACTGCTCACACTAAGATCCCAGGGATAACTGATGGGCTACAACCTGAGCCACTTAAGATGGGCTCCCCTCCAACCACGAGCCACCACAGCATGCAAGACAGCCAGCCCCCACTCTTCTGCCTCTTCTTAGACCTGAGAGTCCTTCCACCATTCCAGTAAATGTAGGACTGTGTGAGGCTGATCCCATAAGCATACCATGTTCCTACCTCTTCCTACAGAGGCCATGACATGAATCAGCAAATCCAAAAAGAAGTCCCTGGAACATCTGAAATCTCCTGAATCCAGCAGGACACATGCAGAGGGCAGTAAATTACTTCTTACAGGAGGGAGACTCCTTTGTGGGAAAGGGAAAGGACAGCTCTAACAGCTTCTCTCCTCTGGAATGAGGGATGGTATTTCATGATATGGATATATCCATATATATTTCATATATATTTCACATTCACTCTCTGTGAACTTCAGACTTAATATAAAGGAACAGACCTGCACAAATCAAGCGTGCAGGTCATGATGGTCAGAGATGTACACAGCTCACACACCACCATGGTTGCTTTAGTGCTGACAAATAAATCTTTGTGTCCTCCTGCCTCCATGACTGACCAAAGGCACAAAGCTTCATCGAGAAGACACTTAGCTCTCCTAGATGTTACATGTTTTGTTCCACTATTTCTTGGCAGAAAATCCCTCCCAGATTATCCATTATACCTTATCCTAGCCAGCATCACTGTAGAGGTTACTTTATTTTCCACACATAGGTTTTCTTTTCTATTTCTTATTTTATTTTTAGCTCCAGCTGCTTGTCCACATCACAAAACAACCACATGATCTGTCATCAGAACTGTCATTTTCTGTCAAGGGCGAAGCCTGTGTGCAGAGGAAGAAATAAGCTATGCCACAGGACCTGAGAAAAGCCCCTTGGCTGCAGTCGCTGAGGCTGCTGCAGGATGCAGCAGAACACAATCATAAAATCAGATGAGATGAGGCTAACAGCCACCCTGAGCGGTGCTGCCTGGCCTTGGCTTAAGGCAGGAAGAACTGCACCTATGGCAATCCTCACACATTGGCCTGGCCTGCTCCTAAAACTCTCCAGTGATGTGACTCGCAGCCTCCACACCAGTGTTTCACTGGTTGCCATTAGATCTGGCTTTTCTCGTGTTTAACCCCAATCTCCTTAGCTGAATTTAAACCCATTACTTCTTGTCCTGTTTGCAGCAGTCTTTAACGGATTTGCAAATTTACTACAACTCTTGTTGGCTCATGCTTTTCTAGACTTGTTCTGCCCTAACTCGCTCGGACTTACCTCATGGGTTGCATCTGCTTGACCACTGGGCCTTGCAGCTTCCTATTGGACTTGCCCCAGTTTCATCAAACCTTTCTCAAGATGCAGTGCCCCAGACTGGCCATAGCACTACAGGTAAGATTTTGTTTCAGAAGGGGTCTCTTCCTTGTCTCTCAGGCTACTCTCCTGTAGACACATCCTCAAGCACCCTCTCTGGAGCTCTGCACTGATGGCACCAGCCTACACAGTGCTTGGCTCTTGCTGCTGACACAATCTTTCCAATTCACCTCTAAACTAAGGGCAAGCAGCAGCTCATTTCCTAATGCCACAGCAAATCCGCTCAGCTCCCCATTATCTGCTGCAGGATTATCCAGTTTCAGCATTAATTGTGTCATGTAGGCAAAGACAACAGAGCTGGCTCCATACAAGCAATTCAACTCAATGACAAAGTTCATTAGCCCACACAAGGCACCATGCGGCCACAAGGCACCTTTGGCATAACCTCTACAAGCCAGTTTAGGATAAACATTGCTTATTAGCTCAGAGAAAACATTGGTCTTGTTGGAGCCAGCTCCATGTCAATTCATTTTGGTGTGTCTGATTTGTTTTCAGGAGCTGGTAGCTCCAGAACTCACCAGATCAAGCACAGTCAGTCGCTATATTATTTCTATATTCACTATATTATTTCTATATTCACTATATTATTTCTATATTCACTATATTATTTCTGATATGCAGAAAATTAATGCAGGTAGGAAGCATTTAAACTAATGGGAGTGGGGGTGTCTGTTACCCAAGGTATCTGACCTATGCTATGGATCATGGCAAGCCAGTGCAGCAAATTCCGCTCCATCCATCAAAATGAAATGCCAACCCGAAGGAATTTCCAGGAGAGAATTTCACAGGACAGTATTACAAGGCTGCTTAAATTAACTTCATCCTCTCTACTACAAATGTGTGCAGATAAAAACAAACCATAGGATACAACCAACATGTTTCTATCTGCAGACACTGCTCCATTGGCTGATATCACATCACTATATGCTCATCTCCAAAAACAGCACAGTTGGCAGGGGCTGCTCCTATTCTGAAGGCAGTGTTTGTGTGTCAGGAGTGTGAGGAGGCGTGAGAAGGATCCCAGCATGTGTGGATAGGAAAGGGTGGAGAATGCCAGTGGCAATTTCCCAGATTTGTAGTGATTGAGTTGACAGGATCTGCAGTTAAGCAACCTTGACTCCAAGTTAATAGGGTTTCTTATTGGGAGGTAATTTCCAGGGGTTTTTAGGAGTTTGTATCAGTGCTGATAGTCATTTACATGAATAGTGATAATGCATTATCCTTCTCAAGTCTTCCCACTAAGCCTTTATGTCTCCTCTACCTTAACCTATCCTCCTTGATGGTTCTCTGCACAGCTGCATTCAACACTTTTTTAAGAAAAGGCTGATCTACAAATGTTTCCCCTGCCAGAAGCAGTGAACACTTAGCCATTAAAACATTATACAAAATTTAAGCGGTCCGTGACAAGTGAGACAGGGAAAATCACTTTGGCCACCATAAAACACATTGCAGAAGGAATCCTGGGCTTTTTCTAGCTCAGCTATCCATTTGCTTCAGAGCTGCCAGGGCTTGCCCAGCACCATTGCTGCATCAGTGGTGCAAGTGGTTCCAACCAAGAAAGGTACCCGAGGAGGAGGAAGGGCGCACGATAGGGAAGGGCACACAGGACCTACCTCGCTGGCTGAGACTGGCGACCGGTCGATGCCCCTGTTGACAGACTCCCAGGACCTGGCAGTCAGCATGCAGGCAAAGAGAGGGTACAAATCCCCTGCCCCGAGCCGCCGGCTGTACTTCTGCACCCTCTTCATATCCGCCTTGATGAGGGCCTGCCAAAGGCGGCAGTAGTCCATGCGGAATGACTCGCTCAGCACCTGAGGAGGGAGACATGGCTCCGAAAAGTCCACAGAGAACAGGGCACTGGTGGGGGAAAGCCCTGTGCCCCCTAGCTGTGCCCTATCCCCCATTTCAGAGCCAGGAAATATCCTTGGAGGGTTACAGGAGTCATAGGAAACATGTATTCATATGGGCTTCAGCTGGGTGTGCTCTTTCAGCCAGACACACACAGGCAGCCTCACAAGGTCCTGGAAGCCCCCCATAGCTGACGTACCTGGTAGAGCCCATGGTCCAGGAGGATAATGTGGGCCTTGCCAGAGGCCGGGCATTTCTTCACTAGCACGTTGCCTGGGTGCGGGTCACAGTGCACAAAGCCGTTCACGAAGATCATTTCGCTGTAGAGCTTCCCCAGGTTGCGAGAGATCTGTGAGGAGACAGGAGATGGTCACACACTGCCACTCACAGCAGGGTGCCTGCCGGGGAGGGGAGGCAGCCCCCGTGTGCCAACACTGCGGGAAGCGAGGGGTTGGCCTTGCCAATGTCCCCATGCTGAGCTCCGGCAGCTCCTCACACTTTGTCAGTCAGCCTCTCCTACGAAGACAGGCTAAGAGTTGGGGTTGTTCAGCCTGAAGAAGAGAAGGCCCCAGGGGGACCTTATAGTGACCTTCCAGGACCTGAAAGGTGCCTGTAAGAAATTTGGAGAAGAGCTGTTCACTAGGGCATGGAGCGATAGGATGAGACGTAATGGTTTTAAACTAGAAAAAGGTAGATTTAGGTTGGATATTAGGAAAAGATTCTTCACTATGAGGGTGGTAGATCACTGGCACAGGTTGTCCAGAGAGGTGGTGCAGGCCCCATCCCTGGAGATATTCAAGGCCAGGCTTGATGGGACTCTGAGCAACCTGATCTGGTAACATTGTCCCTGCTCACTGCAGGGTTGGACTGGATCAGCTTTAAAGGTCCCTTCCAACCCAATTCATTCTGTGATTCTATGATTCTAAATGCACAGGGTGGCTGCTGGCATCTACCACGGGTTGATCCAGGGCATTCAGGGAAAACCACACAGCAGGCATCATAAAGGTGTTTGTGGGGTCAGGGGTTATTTAAGGACACTTGCCTGGCATAAAAAAGAGAAAACACCTGAGGGTAGGACTGGTAATGAGGAGGAAAATGAGATGGCAGACAGGGACAGACAGGCATTCACAGAGAAGGCATGGAAAGAGCTGCTGGAGTGGGTGAGCTAATGCTGGGAGGAAGACTCAGGTGCTTCCATCCATGAACAGCAGCAGGACCCTGCAGTGAAGGGATGGAAAGAGACTCAGCCTGTCCATCTGCCTACAAGAATGAACATGGGTTCCCCTTACCCTCCCTCCATCACACTGTTCCCTACTTTCCCCCTTCTTTTCCTCGGTCGCACGCTAATCTGATTTGCAGTGTCTGTGAAGATGAAACAGCACAGAAAGGCTGTTTAAATCATCCTGTCACTGCCGTGTCCCTCCGTGCCACTGCTCCTTATCACCAAGAGATGTTATTAAAGTTAAAAACCTCCTAGGAGCACATGCAAACATCCCCAGGGCTCAGGATCAATCCCTTGCCTTGCACTAACACAGCAGCCTTGCCCTGACATCCCACCGCCGGCCCTCCCTGCCATCAGGGAGCAGCATGGTGCTCCACAGCAGAGTGCTGAACAAGCAATTAAAAGCCAATCATTACAAATTATTCCAACCACGTCCCCAGACACACAGTGTAACCAGCAAACAGGCAGCTGTCCCCACAAGCAGGAGTGCTTGAAGAGGTAATGGGGATACTAACAACAGCTGGTCCTGCAGAAAACCAGCCAGCCAGGGCAGGGCTTGCTTTACTCACCTCTGAAATGCACAGTGCACAACTCAGCCGCCTCTGAGGAAAGTGTTTGCTATGAATAGTGCCCAAGTAACTACAAATGAGAAGAAAGAATGGAAACCCTTCCTGCAGCACAGCAACAGGGACAGCTGTAGGGACAAACCTCTGTCCCTCCAGTGGGACCTGGAGCCACTGCTGCATGACAGAGAATCCTGCCCCCATGCCAAATAACCCACGCAGGTGACGTAGCACAGCCATGCAGTCTCCTGTAGTGCAGTTCTCCTAATGTCATGCAGGAGTTACTGTAAGCACCGACCTAGGGGAAAGACGTTTCCCTTCTCAATCACCAGCACAGACCACTGGAACAGTGAAGTGATCCTTAATAGGTCTTCCAGATCAACATCTCTAACACTGGACAGGAGCAAATTACCAGGTGCTGTGACCACCTAGAAGAGCTGAGCAGCACTCGGTGACAGTCCAAGGACATGCCACATAGTCTCTTTTAGGCCAGGCACTCATTCACATATCCTTTCAGGAACCTGCACACCAGGAGCAATGGACTAGGAGATCATGACTGGTCATAGCATCAGCCATGATGCCTGTGTACACAGAGTGAACTGCATTTTGCTCTCTCTGCTTCAACTGTCTGCCCTCCAGGGACCTGGAAGAGCACAGAATTACTGAAGATGAGGACTTGGGGACAATGTGATGCCTCACACCCATTATTCACACATCCAGACAGGGGCTGGCAGTTCTGCAAACCTCTTGGTTGGTCATGGCTATACCTGGAAAGATATTAATTATGGGCTTCTTCAAAGAGAGCAGGCTCTCCTCTGTGCTGTGGTAATGGCACAAGTCAAGCACTGGACCAAGTCGCCCAGAGGCTGTGCGAACTCCATCCTTGGAGTTTTCAAGACCTGTCTGGATAACAGCCTGAGTACGCTGGTCTGACCCCACAGCTGACCCTGCCTGAGCAGGAGCTCTGACAGACTTCCCGAGGTCCCTTCCAATCGCAAATGTCCTATGGTCCTGCAAAAACACCTCTCACCAAGTTATCCACACCAACCCCGTAACAGCATCTTCTGGGATGACTGTAGGCTCCAGGTGTAGGGGAGGTCTCCCCTCCTGAAGCACCATCAGCAGACAGGTTACTAAACAGATCTGTGGGCACAGCCCACAACACAGCACAGAAGCAGCTTGGGATTCATCTTCTCACCTTACCAACGAAGGGGTCACAGCCCTGTTCAGACCCACAGGCTGGTTTATGGGTACAACACAGTCTCCACTGCAGGATCCTCATCCTCTCTCCCTTCCCTGCTGTACTCATTTACCTGTTCCTCAGCATGCAGCCTGAAGTATCTGCAGCAGTTAATTCATTGAAACTAGACTTTATGGCTTCTTTCAGAAAAAGGAATGCGTTCTGTATAATTTAGCTAGCATACAGAAGATATGTTACAGGGATTTATGATATACGCATATAAACACTCCTTACTTTGGGAAAAATACCCAGTCTAAGAGATGGTTCTGTGCTGCACACCAAAGAATTGTTGCATATTTTTGTCTGCTGACATACTTCTAAAATAGGATAAAAATGAAATTAAGATAGAAAGCACCAATACTGTTGAATTCCAAACAAAAAAGGAAGGTTATATTTCTAGGGCTTACAGCGTAATAGGTGAATAGCAGACTATCATTGTAATTCAGACAAAAGGAGTTTATGTTTCTAGAATAAAAATTTAGGAAAAAAATCATGGCACCTTTATGTATATTAATTCTCCAGTACAGTGCCTTACCGCTATGGGCCTTTTTTCCACTCTTACTGAGAAGGCCACTGGATAAATAACACCAAAAGAATTCACTTTGGAAGAATGCAGTCAGGTCAAATGAGAAAATAAACATCTGAAAGCCTCTACTCAGGAGAAGAGAGGGATTCCACATGCATTTAGGCTGTGCAAGACCTTGGAGTGAGGGTGCATCACAAATTAGCCAAAAGGTTGCAGTGATTTACGGAAACAAAGACCAAAGTAAACACACAGGCATTTTGTTATGACACAGAGAGGTCATCAGTCCTTTCCCTGCTTATCGACCAACACAGTGAGGTCCATTTCACAGAATCACAGAATACGAGGAGTTGGAAGGGACCTGGAAAGCCCCCCCAGTGCAACCCCTGCCACAGCAGGATCACCACAGCAGTCACACAGGAACACGGCCAGGGCTTTGGGTGTCTCCACACAAGGAGACTCCACAACCTCTCTGGGCAGCCTGGGCCATGCTCTGCCACCCTCACACTCACAAAGCTTTTCCTTCTCTTCAGCTTGAACCTCCTGTGCTCCAGCTTGGGACCATTGCCCCTTGTCCTGGCATTGGACATCCCAGAGCACAGCCTGGCTCCTTCCTCCTGACACTCGCCCTTTCCAAATGGATCCCCAGGAATGAGGGCACCCCTCAGTCTCCTCTGCTCCAAGCTCAAGAGCCCCAGCTCCCTCAGCCGCTCCTCAGCAGGAGATGCTCCACTCCCTCCATCATCTCTGTGGCTCTGCTGGACTCTTTCAAGCAGTTCCTGTCCTTCTTGACCTGAGGGCCCAGAGCTGGACACAATATTGCAAATCATTATCATCACCAGGGTCCCCCAGTGTTGTTCTGCTGCACATGGTAAAATAATAATAATCATCCTTGGAATCCTGCATTCACTTCCAGACACCTCATTAACAGAGGAATGCAGGCAACACAGACCCAGTTCAGAGAAAGCAAACAAATGAGCAGGATGCAGGAGGAATTTACGTGGGAAAACAAGATTAAAAGAGCTAAAGATTCCAAAGTTGGTTGAGGAATGGCAGAGGAGGGACAGTCTGCTGGCGTTAAAAGCTTTGAATAGAAAGGAAGCAGAAGCACTTGTAGCACTGGATGTGCTACAAGAAATACAACTAGGCAGAAGCGGGTGTAATCAAGAATGGCATAATTTAGGCATAACACATAAAAACTTCCATGCCCAGCAAGCAAAGCTGGGCTAGATACATCGGGATGGCACCAGACTTTGGCTATGGCCAGAGGCACGTCCTTGCCTAATGCCAGAGAGTGTGTTACTGCCTAAAAGAAGTTCAATACACGTTTGTGCTGCAGCACAACACGATGACTGAAGTCACCAGGCGAGCCTGTGGCCTCACCAGTCAATGCAAATAGCAACCTGCCACTGCTACATTAGGTGACATGACCGTGACACCGTGTCAGGCAAAACGTGTAGCTGAAGTAAAAAGCAGATTGCAGATGAGGAAATGGAGAGTCAGCAGCCTGGACAAAAACAGGGCAGTGACAGGTACACATCTAACAGCCAGACTTGGAGTAACCCTTCACCAAACTAAGCGAGTAAGGTTCATTTTATGTATCAATATGGCAAGGATGCTGCATGTCACAAACTATCCTACATGAGTTACAAGCCGATACGGAAGAAAATAAGAACACATCGCGGACACTGAGGATTGTTACTGTACAGTATCACATAGCCTCTCTATAAACTGAGACCGCATTTGGAATATTGTGTTCAATTCTGGACCCCTCAGGTCAAGAAGGACAGGGAGTTGCTTG